AAGTCTGCCTAAAGATTTGTAAATTTTGCTTATTTTTTCAAAGAACAAGCTCTCGGTTTTATTGATTTTTTCTATTGTTTTTTAACTCCCCATTTCATTTATTCCTGCCCGATATTTATGATCTCTTCCCTTCTACTAACTTTGAGTTTTGTTTGTTCTACTTTTTCTATTTTCATTAGATGTGAGGGTAGGTCCTTTATTTGACATTTTTCTTGTTTTCTGAGTAGGCTTCTATCACTCTAAACTTCTCTTTTACAACTAATATGCTGCTTCTCATAAATTTTGGATCATTGCATTTTCATATTTACTTGTCCGCAGGTTTTTTTTAATTTTCTCTTTGATTACTTCAATGACCCACTTTTAGCATATTGTTTAGCCTCAATGTTTTTGTGTTGTTTGCAAATTTTTTCTTGTAGTTGATTTCTAGTCTCATAGCATAGTGGTCAGAAAAGTTGCTTTATGTTATTTCAATCTTCTATTTACTGACACGTTTTATGGCCTAGCACGTGATCTATCCTAGGGAAAGTTTCTTATGTACTGGAAAAGAATGAGTATACTGCTACTTCAGATGGAATGTTCTGTTATCATTTAAGTCCATCTGCTCTAATGTGTCAGTTAAGACCATTGTTTCCTTGTTGATTTTCTGTCTGGATGATTTTTCCATTGATATAAGTGGGATGTTAAAATCCCCTACTATTGTTATATTACTGTTACTCTCTCACTTTATGTCTGTTAATATTTGCTTTATGTATTTAGGTGCTCCTATGTTGGGTGCACATATATTTTACAGTGTTATATCTTTGCCTTGGATTGGTCCCTTGTTCATTATGTAGTGTCCTTCTTTGTCTCTTGTTACAGTTTTTATTTTAATGTCTATAAGAATTGCCACCTCAACTTTCTTTTCATTTCCATTTGCATGAAATACTTTTTTTAATTCCCCCCATTTTCAGCCTGTGTGTATCTTTATTTCTGAAGTGAGTCTCTTATAGGCAGCATCTATATGGGTCTTGTTTTTGTATCCATTCAGCCACTTTATGTTTTGATTGGAGCATTTAGTCCATTTACATTTAAAGTAATTATTGATATACATGTACTTATTGCCATTTTTTGTTAATTGATGCTGGATTGTTTTGTAGTTCTTTTTTGTTCCTTTCTTCTTGTTTTGCTCTCTTCCCTTGTAGTTTGATGACTATATTTAGTGATATGTTTGGATGTTTTTCACTTTTCTGTGTGTGTTATCTATTGTAGATTTTTGGTTTGCAGTTGCCATGATGTTTATAATTGGCATTTTATATATATTTTTTTCTATAGATATAAATTATTTTAAGTTGCTGATCCCCAAATTCGAATGCATTTTTAACAGCCATGCACTTTTAAATCCCTCTTGTTTACTGTTATGACATCATATTTTTTGTTTGTTTTGTGTATTCCTTAGCTATTTATTGTGGATTTAAGTTTTACTACTTTTGTCTTTTAACTTTCCTGCTTGCTTTATATGTGATTGATTTATTTACAGTATATTCTTTACAGTCTTTACAGTATATTTGCCTTTACCAACAATATTTTTCCTTTCATTCATTTCATATATCTACTTGTGGCATATTCTTTTCTGCCTAGAGAAGTCTCTTTAAAAATTCTTGTAAAGCTTGTTTCATGTCACTAAACTCTTTTAGCTTTTGCTTGTCTGTAAAACTTTCAAATCTGAATGAAAGCCTCAATGGGTAGACTTCTTGGAGGAAGGTCTTCTTGATTGTGTATTTTTCCCTTTGTCACTGAAAATATATCATGCCACTCTTATAGCCTTCAGAGTTTCTGCTGAAAAGTGTGCTAATCACTTTATGGGAATCCTTGTATGTAACTGGCTGCTTTTAATAATCTCTCTTTATCTTTAATTTTTGCCATTTTGATTACAATATGCCTTTGTGTGTTACTCCTTGGGTAGATCTTGTTTGGGGTTTTCTGTGATTCCTGGACCTGGATGTCTGTTTCCTTTCCTAGGTTATGGAAAGTTTTTAGCTATTTTGTCTTTAAATACCTTCTCTGCCATTTCTCTCTCACTTCTCCTTTTGAGACCCCTGTAATGCAAATGTTAATATGTGTGATGTTGCCCTACAGGTCTTTTAAACTGTCCTCATTATTTTATTAGTTTTTTCTTTCTTCTGTTCAGCTCCAACGATTTCTACTTTTCTTCCACTCTACTGATTGATTTCTCTGTATCATCTAATCTACTGTTGATTCCTTCCAGTATATTTTTATTTCAGTTATTGTAGTCTTCATCTCTGTTTGGATATTCTTTATATTTTCTAACTCTTTGTTAAAGGTCTCACTGTGTTCATCCATTCTTACACCAAGTTTTTAAAACACTTTTATGATTATTACCTTGAACTCTTTTGTGGGTAGATTGCTTATCTCCACCTCACTTAGTTCTTCTGGGATTTATCTTCTTCCTTCACTTGATACATATTCTTCTGTCTCCTCAGTTTGCCTAATTCTCCGTTTTTATATTTTTGCATTTGGCATGTTGCTTATTTCCCAGCCTTATGGGTCCAGGGTGTCCCAAAGGTGGTGTTGTCCTGCTGGTGAGTGGTATCAGATCACAGGAAGGCTGGCTGAAAGGCCCAACATGTCTGGGAGCTGGTGTAGCCTGCTGATGGTGCAGGGGAGGTGGGAGTGCCAGGGCTGGTGTTGGCCTGCTGGTGAGTAGGGCCAGGCCCAGGGCATCTCAGGGCTATTACTGTACCACTGATGAGTGAGGCCAGTTCCTGAAGCTATTGCCAGCCCACTGGTGGGTGGTGCTAGAACCTAGGGTCTGTTGCTGTAGGGCCCAGGGTTCTCAAAGTTGGTGTCAGTCCACTGGTTAGTGGAGTGGGGGTCTAGGAAGTCCAGGGTCTAGGGCCAGCCCACTTTGATGTGGAGCTGGGACCTGGGGTCTCTGACTTCAGGGCCTGGGGGTCCCTGAGCTAGTGCCAGACCACTGGTGGGAGGGTCTGGGTCCTGCCCCTCTGGCGGGCAGGGCTGGGTGCCAGAGAAGCTGAGGGCTCGTGGGTGTCATGAAGCAGCTGGCCTGCTGGTGGGTGGGGCTGTGTCCCACCCAGTTACCTGCTTGGCCTGAGGTCTCAGTACTAGTGCCAACAGGCTGGTGGGTGGGTTGGGTTTTCTGGTGCTGATAAGCTTGAGGGAGGATTCCAAAATGACGCTTGCCAGCACCAGTGTCCTCATGGTAGAAAGAGCTCCCCAAAATGGCTGCCACCAGTGTCTATGTCCACGCGGTGATCTCCAATTGCCTCCTGTCTCTCTGGGAGGCTCTCCAAGATCAGCGGATAGATGTGACCCAGGCTTCTTTCAGATCACTACTTCTGCCCTGGGTCTCACAGCATGTGAGGTTTTGTGTGTGCCTTTTAAGAGTAGAATCTTTATTTCCTAGAGCCCTCTGGCTCCTCTGGTCTTCAGAGTCAAACATTCTGGGGGCTCATCTTACTGGCACAGGATTCCCAGGCTGAGGACCTTGAGGTGGGACTCAGACCTGTTGCTTCTTAAGGAGAATTTCTGCAATTGTGATTATTCTTCTGTTTATCCAGGGCTATGGGTCTTGGCTACACCTCCTTTCTGCCCCTCCTACCCATCTTGTTGTGGTTTCTTCTTTATAGCTATAGTTGTAGATTGCTTCTGCCAGTCTTCACAACATTCTCATCAACGGTTGCTCTGTAAATAGTTGTGATTTTTGATTTGCTTATGGGAGGAGGCAAGCTCAGGGTGTTCCTACTCCACTATCTTCCTACACTGATATTTAAAGACCTACCCAGGCATGTTTTCTGGGCTAGGCCAGTTGACCAGCTGGTGGATCCAACCTGCAAGGCCTGCAAGGATAGGCTGCATATCATCCCTGTTGTCTACTCAGAAATTAAATTGTTGAGATTTTCAATAATACAACCAAAATCATATCAGATTCTCAGTTTTCCCATTTATTTTCTTATTCAAGAAAAAGTGTGCATTATCAACAGAAAAACAATTTACTGTGCCAGTGGGCTAGTAAATCTCATCATTTCATTAAAATCACTTTGGTTCAGTTCAAGCACCATTTACAGAGAACTTCCATATGCTGAGCACTGTACTTACTACTAGAGACGGATAGGACCGGACTGCTAGTCCCTGGGGTCTTCGGTTAGACAAGGCTGATGCGAGTGGAATCCAACGTCTCTTGAATGCATACCTGAAGCCAGTGCCATTTCCCTTACTTTTAAAGATACAGACAGTAACAAGGATACTACTCAGTCTTGGTTCTGTCTCCTCCTAGTGAGTAAACAGAGGATGAAGGATAACGCAGGTCAAGTATTAGGGTCACAATATCTAGACACAGTCCTTGCAGAGTCTGTCTCCTGCAGGGAGCTAGTCCATAGAATCCAACAGGAGGCAGCTCCAAAAAGTGCATGTGATGTCATTTTTGAAGGGGTTTTGAGGGCTCCAAAGTGCAGACTGTCTGCTACCTATCTTAAAATTGACCTTTAAACATCCTCAACAAAGCAAGAATAAATGTTCTCAGATTTGAAAGGGTTTTTCTTCTCATAGGGAATTCAGAAGCAGTGCTTCAGCAGAGAGAGAAATCTGTCTGCTTTACTGAGGGCCTCGTAGTCTAGCAGAGGCCGAGGGTCACATAGTTTTGGCGACGGAAAACAAGGGTATGAATACACAAGCAGATAATTTCTCTCCTGTCTGTCAGCTGTCCAAAAATAGAGATATGCCCAAAGTGCTATTTAAACACCAGCAAAGAATTCCTAACCAGAGCAGTGAGGCTATGTGGGGAGAAATGGAGAGAAATCTTCCCAGAGTAAGTCATATCTCAGTCTCGAAAATTCAGTGATTAACTGGGAGCAGTAGGCTCTCAAGGAAGGGAGAATTGCATAAGCAAAGGCATAGAGATGTAGGACTTATAATTCTGTATATCAAAATAAAACTACATGAGCAGACAGTTATGAAAATGTATATTTTAAAGGGGTAATAACAATCTCCCTCCATTTTTAAAATGATCTCTTTATTATCAGCCAATTAATCAGGACTTCAAACCCATTTCTAGTCATCATCCTAAGCTTCCAGTTTGGACATAGTGATTTCTTGATAAGCTGTATCATTTTAAAGGACATTTATATCAATTGCTTCCATTTTAATTTTATCTTTAGCCAAATCCTCTCTTTCCTGTACTGTTTGTTCCCCAGGATACAAGTCAATATTTTCATTGATGTCATCCCACTTATCCGTTATCCTAAAATCAAATGCAGTACATTATCTGGCAAGAGTGTCCACGTTTCGCTCTCTCTAGCAGGTATGCGTTTACTTGGGCATTTTCTCTTGATTACACGTTAAACCTGTTGTTTTCTTTCTAAGTCCATTGAAGCATGAATGAATGTTCTCAGATTTGAAAGGTTTTCCCTTCAACTTTGATTTTGTTTATACATGATTTTTATGCATTTTTATTATATACGTTGGAGACAATGAGTGAGCACTGGCAACTACGTGAGCTGCCTCTGAGAGCATTTAGTTTCCACTGTAACGAGACTAGTCTCATGAATATCAGTGCTTACTGTAGTCATACGTTTCCAACATTTGATGAATATTGTGTCATGACTTCATTTAGCTTCAACCAATCTCTTTGTGTGAGCTTATTTCCATCAGTTTCCAGATACAGGAGAAGACAAATAGGTAGGAGGTAGCTATCTAGAGTGCAAACACATAAGAAACTAAGAAAATAAGGAAGAAAAAACAGGTTTCTTATAAAATTAAGTGACTCTAAGGTAATCAAACAGAACATAATTTCCTTTAAACATTTTTTAAATAGTTGTGCCAAACTTACACTGAGCAATAGATTAATGCTTTTATAG